GCTGAAGTGCTTTTGGGAAGTGCAAGTCAGAAATTGCCCCTTTTCCCAAACCTTATCAGTTTTTGAGGATTTAGTACCAAAAAGCTACGTGCTCTGCTGAACGATGTCTGCAGGCAGTTGGCGGCTCCTGAGGTTAAATTGCTCTTCCCACCTTGTGCCACAGCAGCCTGGTGCCCCACAGGCAGTGATCCTGGCTCTCTTCTGCCTTTCTGGAGCTGCTGCACTTTGCCATGGATGTGAAGAGCAGCACCAGAGGTTCTCTGCTGTGGTACTTTGGATGGTTGAAACCCCATGAGCGTTGCTGCAGAGAGAGCATCAATAACCAAACCATTCTGAGCCATGCAGCGCTCTGGCCATGTCTCCATCTCCCCCATTGCCAGGCATTCTGTGTGCTCTCCTCCTGCAGAAATAGCTGCTGCGCTCTGCTGCTGCATCCCAAAATAGCCTGGGAGGAAGCAGAAGGACCAGACCAAACCAACAGAACAGATTTCGGCTGTCTTGCTGGGAGCAGGGCCCCTGCCTGGTCCCCAGGCGCTGTGCAGGTAGCCTGTCGCCGGGGCAGGATGCGACAGCCCCTTTAGATGCTGGAGACCTGGATCCAAAGGTGCAAGGCTGAGTATGTAGGGCCAGCTGGGCTTTCTGTGTCTGGATGTGCTGGCTGCTGGGGTGTTGAGGGTGGAAAGCCCTGCAACCACACGAGGTGCAGTGAATGGTCAGCCACGACGTGCCCTGTGGGAGCACAGTGTTGGCGTTCACCCTCTGCGTGTTCCTCTCTTGTGCAAACACACAGCCACACCTGGGGTTGTGCAAATACTCTCCACTGTGTTAAATCCATCCTGGCCTTGGTGGTCACGCTTATCAGAGCTAGATAGTGGAGTTTTAACTCCTTGTGTGGAAAGGGCTGTCCAGGAATGGATTTAGGGTCCACTTGTGAGTGGTGGAAGTGGCGTTGGTCCCAGGGTGAGGGCTGGACTGGTGGTGTCCCCTGGTTCCCTGTGCTTTGCTGGCACATGGGCCTGTTCTTCCCCCTTCTCATTAAAACAAATGAGCAACTGGATTTACAGTGCAGCTCATGGGCTGTGTGTGTGTCAGGGTGGCAGGACTAGTGGTGCAGGAGCGAGCACCCTGGGGCACCCCAGGACTCCTCACAGTGCTTTTTCTGCAAGGCTATGGGCAGGGGTAAGTGGACCAGGATCTCATCACTGCCATTACTGCATGTGACATGAGTGTATGGACGTGGTCAGGGAAGTGTCAGAGCCACACTGGTATGAACATGTCGGGGATGAAATACTTCATGCAGCAGAAGGTGTCCCCCCAGAGCTGGTGCTTGGTGTGGTGGTGGGACATGGGGTCTGGGATGGGGTCATGGGTCCCCTGCTTGCTTGGTTACCTTCCTTGCCTTCTCCTGCCGCTGTATGGATGTGCTTAGTCCAAGTGCAGGTGAGCTGCGTGGCTGAAAGCCAGAGGAAGCATTTTCCATCCAGCTCTCTGACTCTAAACCCACTGAGAATGTGTGTCGCTGGATGTATCCTCTGCTCACTTGTCCTGGTCAGGACCTGCAGGGACTCCCTGTAGTGGTCAGGCAGGGCTCAGCGCCGTGCTGCTGGCGCTTGGCGACGAAGGAGGTTGTCCTCTTTCTCTCATGGAAATCTCTCTTTGCCATCTTTGTTTTCCACCCCGCAGCCTGTTCACAGCATCCCCTTTATCTCCGCAGGCCTGGCGTGATCACCATGCAGGCGCTTTCGGAGGAGGACCGGCGGCTCTGGATGGAGGCGATGGATGGCCGGGAACCGGTGAGCAGAAACACTCGCTAACCCCCAGCCTTGGAGAGGAGTGTGGGGAGCTCTCCGGAGCCTGGGGCAGGCTGTTGGCTGCGAGCAGGCTGTCACGCAGCGCCTGCCAGCCGGCGCGGGAGCTGTATCCGTGGGGCAGCCTGCGCCTCCTGCCAAGAGAATAGTTTAATCCCTTGGTTAAATATTTGAGGTAATACTGTATCTCCTGTGCTTGGATCGCTTGGAGGTGCGGTGGGAAGGAGGAGGGTAGGCTTGGCCAGCACAAACATGCTGCTGTGCTGTGCTGAAAGGAAAACATGGCAGAAGGAGCAGTGGAAGAAAAGATGCTGTGCGTTTCCAGGGCGGCTTTTTTGTGTCCTGAAACTCATTGGTGGCTGCTTCTGGGTCTCGTGGAGAATCACAGGTTTCGTGTGAGGCTCCCTGTGCTCGGCTGTGCCGGGGCTGTGCGGGCTTCCTCACCTTCAGAATGGATTATGGGGATTTTCAGAGAACTCGGGATTTTACTCTTTAATGTGTGTGCAGCCTTCACTGCCGGGCTCCGGGAGCTGTGGCTGGTTCTAAATGCATTCCCCCGGTGGCACCATCCTGCCCAGCTCTCCAGCAAGGAATGGCAAACACAGCATCACCGGGCAGCCTCCGTCTGCAGAGCGAGAGCAGACTGTGGGCCCCTGTGCCTCAGGCTGGCCAAGAGCGTGGCAGGATGCGAAGGGAAGCTCTGTGGATTGCGGGAGCAGCCAGGGCTGCTGTGGGACAGCCCAAAGTGTCTGTGTGCTCCAGGGCTTGAGCTGGGCTCTGGCAGTTGAAGGAGAGTCCATGTGGGGAGCAGCGTGTCCCGGTCCCACAGACTGGGACTGGTTTGAGCAGATTCCTCCCAAATCCATGAAAAGGTTTTTGTTTGTCAGGAAAAAGTGTTCTTTAAAGCCAGGTGAGATGTGGATACATGTGGGCTGTTCACTGAGTGCTGGAAAGCACACGTTGGGCTCAGTTGAGCAACTTGCTTTTGAAATGTGCAGTGGTTTAGAGGTCAGGAGGGCCCTGTGTGTGTGTGTGAGGGTGCTGCCGTGCAGTTCAGGTAAAGGATTTCATTGTGGATGCCTGGAATCATAGATCCATTGGGTAATTCAGGTAGGACAGGACCTCGGGATGCTTCTAGTCCAGCCTTCTGCTCAGAGCAGATTGCTTGGGTGTTATCTGGTTGTGTGCAGTGAGCATCCAAGGGAGGAGAGTGCGCAGCCTTCCTGGGGCTGCTTTGCCATCCTTTTGGTCCCCAGTCTGAACCTTTCCTGTTTCATTTCACACCTATTGTCTCTTGTCCTCCCACTGTGCACTGTGTGAGGGGCCTGGCTCTGGTTTTCCAGTGCCTTAGGATGGGTGCTGGCAGGTCCCCACAAAGCTTTTCCTTCTCCAAACTGATTCCAGTGGCACCTGGAGACAGGATAATATTTGAGTTTCTTCAAAACCGAAGTGCGTATCCTCCTTGCTCCTACTCCGAATCGAGCCTTGTCCTCCTTCAGCTCACCTGCTTCCCACTGCTGGGAGCTGGTGTTGAAGGATGCGAAGGGCGGTCACCAGCACTGGGGCTGCGTGAATCCCGCCATCCAGGTGCCTTTTGACGTGCCGATGTTCCCAGGACCTGGCACAACAGCAGAGCCAGTCTGTTGGGATTGGGTTGCAGAAGTGCAGCCAGAGATTTTGCGTGCTTGTGAAGTGCTGTGCATGTGAAAGGTGCTGTGAAGCAACCAGTGCAGGACTGCCTGGATTGTCCTGTTTGAGAATCTGGTTACGTGAACTCCTTCAAACACACAGGTCTCCATGCTGACACCTACGGATTTCTCCTCTTCCCTATCATGCCCATCAGCTCAGGGTAGCTTGCTCATCCAGCACATCAAGGGTTGTTGCTGCGCATTAATGCAATACCTCATGGCATTTAAATGCTCATGGCATTTAAACCCGGCCTTCCAGGTGTGGTGCAGGAGCCATGGGAGTGGAGCCTGTATGGAAATGGATCCAAGAGGCATTTTACTGATGAAGATGGTGCGTGTTGACAGACAGGATAATCCCAGTCCTCAGTTACCCTCCTCAATCCAGCACAAGTGGAGTTGTTGGTCTGTTCTGTTTGGGTTCTTCTCTTGCAACAGCAGGGTGTGGGATGTTACCTACTCCACAGAGATTTCCTTGAGCAAGAGACGAAGATTTAACCTTTGGACTCTTAGAAATACCCATTCTATGCTTTGACCGTATTTCTGTAACCAAGAAACCCCTACTGGAAAGAATGTCTGGTTTTCCTTTGATTGAATGTTGAGTTGTGGAAAAGATTGGCACAGTGGGGACAGTAATTCCATGTGCAAATTCAGGCTGTGGAGAGATTAAAGTGGACTGGAGTTTGTTTCTTAATTATAATTAAAAGATTAAAACCAAATGTTGAATTACATTTTAGTAAGACCTAAACATAGAATGTGGGCTGCATTAGCCAACACATTTGTCACAACTTGAAAAGATTTATTATACATCTTACAGTCAGAGCAGTCTCCAGATAGCTATCATCAGTCTGTTAACTCTTACCACTTGTTATTAATTTGGCTAAAACCCCTGTGTTGACTTTGGGGTTTATTTTATGCTACAGAGGCTGGAAATAGGAGAAACGAACTTCGTCACAGAGCAGTTGGTTTGGTTTGGTTAAGATACTGGGGATAAGTTTCCTATGGTGGTTCTCCTCTGGTGATGCAGTTTGCAGCTGTACGTGGTGGAGGGCAGCGTGGCTCTGAACCCACGCCAAGCACGAAGCCGGCCTGGCCCGTCGCGGGGGCTGTGGGATTAGGAGCGGTGCGAACGAGGCTGTTTGCTCCGCACACAGGGAGCGCTC